TCAGAATGAGAGTCCAAACAACTGATAAAAAATCATGGCAATAATCCACACGACTCCAGTCCATCAATTAACGTCTTAAGAAAAGTCGCATTTGTAAGAAACGGATCCACCGCTGCTTCTGGACAAAATGCCAGATCAAGTAGTGAGCAAGTGATATAATGTTAAACTTCTCCAAATCTGTGCTGAGGAAAAAAACTCCTCTACATCTTGGGATGACCTGGGGGTGAGTACATTTTTATTTCTAGGTGAACTATGCATTACATAAAAGATACAGTTGTCTACAGTTTGTGATGTTAAGTACGCCCACTGTAATGAAAAATCTATTTTCTCAAACAATTATAAGTAATGCAAAAAAAAAAGAGAACACTTTTCTGTAATGAAAATAGCAGGATCAATGCACAGACTGACAGCTGGTGTGTGGATCACTGCAATCAGACAAGCGGAGTGATGTTACACTTAATATTATTCTTGGAATGCTGTTCCGCTAATCAGATTAAAGGACCAGAACTAACTGTTGTATAAGTAACAGATAACATACAGTCAGTAGCTCGGTCAGGACCCACACGTGAAACAGACGGCTAATTGACAAATACATAAACGCTGGCAATACTGATTTGAAATTATTTTATTATCTTGTGAAGATCGCGAAGAGATAGAACACGAGCACAGCTATGTAGGAAACATGTATCCTGGATGAGCAAGTAAGCTTTCTTTACTTGGCTTTATAGTATTGGAAACACCGTTGAGAGCATTGTGCTACATGGTGAAATACTAGACTAGACCAGCAAATTTTGAACAAATCCAGGAACTCCAGTCTGTTGCCTCATTTTCAATAAAAACAGACATATGCATTTTCTGCTTAATAACATACCTAAATTGGTCAGCAAACAAAAATGGCATCTGAATAAATGATAAAATATACATAAACGTGTAATAATTCAAGAAATGAATGATTGTTTGTTTGTATCTAAAAAAGTGCAAGAACAAAAAAAAAAGAAAAATAATTGTGCAACATTACCCTCTACTAAAACAGTCCAACACAAAAGTAGACATTTCTTTCACATTAGTTGCTCTAAATATTTAATCATTCTATAAAATATGCCATGTCTTTAAAAGCAAGGGTACAAAGACCTTAAAATAGCTTTATCCCCCATCCCCCCAAATGTAGTACAAAGCCCATCTCTTCATTATTTAAAAGTACAAATATTTTAGAAAACAACAATAGTGCGAGTCATTGCGCGTGTCACCTTTACATACAAAGGCTGTACGTTTTCATTAGAAGCACATCCATAAAGATGAAGCATATTAAGACTGTTTTTCTCTCTGCACAGGGAATGCTCCTCATTACGCCATGCTCTGATAAAGACCGCAAATGTTTCTGATTAGGAATCTTCATTGTATCAATACTAGTATTTATCACCATTTCTTTAGGTTTAATAATAAATAAGTGCTGTTTGAAGGTATGACATTAGGTAATTAGAGTCATTTTTCTTGGCTGAGTTGTAGGCCACATCCTTCGCTACCATATAAAATATACAGTTTTTTTTTTTTTTT